AGAGGTGGCGGGGGGAGAGACCAAATGGCAGCGGGAGTATCTGGGAGCATAAGGTGAATTTCTGAATTTCGGTAGTTGGCTTTCAGGGCGGCAGAGGCTGAGATGCCCCTGATGATCCCTCGGTGCAGAGGCATGGGCAGGTGAGTGAGCGTGGAGGTCAGCTGCCCCTTCGAGCGGAGCTGGGGCTGGACCAACGCAGCAAGTTTCCAGCCATGGAAACCCTGCTCCAAATAGCAAAATGGAAACCCTGCTCCAAATAGCAAAATCACAGTCCTGGGAGAGGTGTCCTGACTTATCCCCACTTTCTCTTTGCAGAAGCAGAGCGCTACATTTCTAAACTGTTCTTGGTTTCCCTGCCTGGCCTGAGCGTATCTCAGGGGAACTAAGGGCACAGGCAACTTTTTTTTTCCCTCTCCTAAATTGTATATTTTAATTATTGTTCTTTCTAATGCATGTTTGTTTCGTTAGATCAATGGCGTCCAGTACTTAAATGCCTGTGCTAAAGACAGTATTTTGACTCTAAAGGAGCCTTCAGCTTGTGGTTTCCCTTCTGGCAGAAAAAAAAGAAAAAATCAGAGTCATCCAAAAGGAGTAAAGGCGAGTCTGAGCATAGGCAGGCTGCTGTTCATGCTGGCTCCCAGACCAACTCATCCAAATATGCCGGTTGTGTCACCTACAGGTCTGTGCCAAAGCTCCTGGACTGAATTAAACAGCCATGGGAGAAGCTGCTGATGTCTCTGTCGACATCCCAGGTTTCAAACAAGTGGACGAAGGCCAATGTTGTAGTGTTCACTCATCCAGACCATGTGCCCCCTCCGAGGGGAACACTGGTCCCTGACTTCTCCCTACCGTGGCACCCGGCTGTTGGAGGGAGATGCGATTCCCACGCAGTGCGTGGAGCTGAGTCGGTACACGGAGAAACAAAAGGAGCGAGAGCTGCCAGGTGTCATCCTGCCCAGAGGAATCCCTGGCCCTTGCTAGTACTGCAGGAATCCCTTGCCGTGCCTTTGCTGCAGGAATGAGAATACCCCAAAGCCTACGTGTTACCTGCTCCCTTCTCCGCATGCTTTTGTTTCACATAAGAAAAACCAGACCTGAAGAGGGGAGCGACGTAGTTGCTGGGGAAGATCCCCACTCTCCCCGTGACGAGGGACATGCCCCGCAGCCAGCCATCGTGGTCTTTCCCAAAGACGCGGACCCCTTCTCCCTTCTGCAGCTCCAGCTCGTCTGGTCCATGGGCCACGTAGGGATGGAGAGCCACGCACCTGGGGAGACAGGGGGTGAGGGGAGGGGTGGCAGCCTGCGGAGCTGCATCTGCCCCCCGGGCAGGATGGCTGGAGCCCATCCTGAAGCTCCTGGGTTTAACTGTGCTGAAGAACTGATGCTGCTGGCCTTGGGTGAGCGGCGGCTGTTTGCCTGAAGCCTCTTCAACCAGCACTTGCATCAAATATTTGAGCACTGCTGTTATTGTGGAGAGAACTCGCAGGGAAGAGACTGCCCGTAACTTCAGGTGAAGAGGATGTGAATAAAAGAAGAGCCAACAGGAATGGGGAACAAAGCAGAGCCCGTCAGTGGATTCTGCCCCAGAAGTGCCAGCTAAGGGTGACAAGTGTTAGGGAGGAGAAAGCTGCTGTTCACCTCACACAGTAAGTGCTCCATTAAAATCACCGATTAAGGGCTAACGTGTACCTGTCCTAAGGCAAAGCAGCATGAAAGAGCACAGGTACGATGCTCTGTCCGAGTGACAGAATTAAGAACATGTTCTGCCTTTGAAGCGTGTGGTGAGCCAGAGGTCTGGCATCTGCCTGCCTTGAGCATCATCCGGAGGAGTTCTGCGGGTAGGAGCCCTGCTCATGCAGCAGTGTGCGTGTTCATCCCACCTTCCTCCCTTTCCTCATTCTCCTGCCACCGGACCCCTGCGGAGGCTAACACTGGGGCTTCAGTCACTGCCATTGGGGCCTCTGAGAATAAAGTGGACAAAGGAGGACGTATATGGCTCCGCTCTGGGCTAATGAAGAAACTGGGCTAGAAATTAATTTGAGATCCCCTCTAGTCCTCTCTGTTGTGATTCTGGGACTATGACTGGGTGCTGAAGCTTTGTTCTCCACAGGAAGCCACGTGTGACCACACAGAGAAACAGGAGCAAAAGAAAACTGCATATTTTTCAAAACTTTCCCCTATTTGTTCTTTAAAGAACCTTGTCTCCAGTGTAAGACATTTAATTTAATTGCATTGTTGTTGGGTTTTTTCAAGGGGAATGTGATCTGCTCCCAAATGTTAATGAGTTACAGACTAATACAGCAATTATCAGTACTATTTAAAAAAACAGAAACAACAGACTAGTTGTCTCAATGGCCAAGGACTATCCCATAATGTTTAAAAAGGTTTCTCTCTCCCGGTTGTTCAGAACAAGCACTTGGGAGTTTGACTTCAAATGCCTGTCATCTTTATAAAGCGACTTCTCCTGCTACTTGCACAGACCAGGCGGGGTTCAGTGTACGGGTGTTCTAATTCTGCAGTGGTTTATCACTTTACACGGGATTCATCCTGAAGGGCAGGACAGGCAGGTACTGGTTTGATATTGCAGGGTTGAAAAAGGAGCTGTGCAAAATAGGCAGCTGGTTGAAGACTTTAATACAATCCTCATTCTGCAACTTATTTTAAGGTCGTAGGAGTTCTCTCGTGCTTAGGACGAAGCGTGTGCAATGGTCTTGGATGACCTATGCTAATGCATGGAAGGAGGAAACGTCATGAGCGTAGTACAGGTTTACAGATATTGCTCATGTGTACTGGTGTTTCTGGCTCGATACTGTGGAGGTGCTAATTACCGTGCAGACAGCTTGTTGCTGTTTTGTTGTTATTGGGAAGCTTACTACAGTGCCAGGCTGATGAATCTCATCTAGAGGAAAACAAATCATCACAATATATTATCTGCAAATTTTAACTCTGGGAAAGTCTTAAAAGATTGGATCATTCAAAACATCAGTGACCATCACTGTCTCACTTAAAATAAATAACTAGAGGCACTTAAAGGAGTAATTAGTTTCTTTTTATATTTAAAAATTTAAACTGTACTGTTGACAAATGGGCAGAACTATGTATCGATAAATAGTTTAGGGAGGTAATAAGGTGCAAGGACGGTTTACCTGCTGCGAATATAATTAAAAAAGATGAGCACAGTAGTTTGGACAAGGAAATGATCAGAATCTATCATCTCAAATGTTTCCAGTACTGTGCCCACATTCTTCTATATCCCTTGATTTTCCTAAATTTAATCTCTGAGTTCAACTGTGATAAGTCTCTGTGACCCCCTGCTTAGACCAGCCAAGTACATTCCTACATGGATCTGCACGCACGGGAGCTGCGCTCTGGCCTGCCTTTACCTCCTGGCTCACAAGAACCGTTGGCT